CCCCCCCCCCCCCCCCCCCCCCCCCCCCCCCCCCCCCCCCCCCCCCCCCCCCCCCCCCCCCCCCCCTAAAAAAACCCCCCCCCCCCCCCCCCCCCCTAAAGCAATGTGAAGAAATAGAAAAGAGTAAGTTTGACAATGTAGATGAAACACAAAAAATTCAATCTAGTAGATGGATCTCTCCCCCTAAAGCAATGTGAAGAATATATGGATTTACTACATATGAAATGAGTCCAGCCATTATTTCATTACGGTTATGTCTAGAAAATAAGCAGTTAGTTACATATAAAAATTCTAATGATCTTAATAGTGTTGTTAGACGAGATTTCTTTCAAAAATCAATCTGACTGAATTTTTTAAGGTAAATGCTACGAACGAAGAAGCAAGAAAATTGTTGTAAAATAATTTCCTGAACATTTTGTGTGGGATGCACAATGTAAGTGTTGGCTATTTAGAAAAAGAAAGAGAGGTGCGGCTATTGGAAAGATTGTTGCAGCAATCCAGTTGAAGGTGAAAGATATTACTTGAGAATATTGTTAAATTATGTTAAGGGATATCTTTTGAAGGTCTAAAATTAGTGAATGGTGTTTCTATGCAAACTTTTCATGTAGCTACATTATTACGAGGTTTACCTAGTGGGGATAATAATTGTGATTTATGCTAACAAGAAGCTTGTGATTATCAAATGCCAAATTCATTTTGTCGCTTGTTTGCAACTATTTTAGCATTTTGTTTCCTTGATGATTCAGAAAATTTGTGGAATCAATTTAAATAATTTATGTTTGAACATTATTTAGGGAAGGATGTGATTCTACATGATGTGGAATTAAAAATATTACAGTCTATAAATTCATTTTTAGAACTGCTTGGCAAATCTTTGAATGACTATGGATTAGCTATTTATGATATTAATGTGCAGAGAGACAAAGTGTTAGAAAAAATGGTCAATTAATAATTAGGAATATTAACATTTGAAGTTGATGTTTTATGTGTATATAACCTTAACCAAGAGCAAAGAGCTGCTTATGATGCAATCTTAGGTAATTTTTTTCATAATGTCAATCATATGTAGTTTGTTGATGGTCCAGGTGGAACAAGAAAAGCCTTTTTATATTGTACATTGCTTGTAGCTATTAGATCAAGAAACTTAGTTGCTTTAGCAACTGCATTGTTGGGAGTGGCTGTTGGT